GAGGGGACAGGAGGTCGGCTCGCAGTTGGCCCAGGGTGGCGGGGAGGGGAAGGGTCCGGCGTTGACCGCCGGCATTCTCCCCTTCCCTCTCCTCCGCCTCTCCTCAGGCCGCACCGCCTCCGGAGCCCCTTTCCCGGCTCGGAGACGGCCGACTCGGGGCCCGGGGCTCGGCCGCCAGTGGGGGAGGGGGCTGCCTGGTCTCGGCCCCCGAGAGGGGTGGGGCGACAATTTCTGTCGGCCGAGCTAAAGGGGTTTAAAGGGCGGCTCTTAAAGGGGCCGCAGAAGGGGCCTGGGGACGAGGAGGCATCCCCTCTCCATCCGTCTGCCGTCGCTCTCTTGAGGGGGGCGCTGGGCCGAGGAGAGAATGTGGAGGAAGCAAACACGGGTCGGGGCGGCCCGGGGGACAGAGGTTTTGGGGTTGGGCCCGAGGTGGAGGGCCGGGGGTCGGGGGGTGTGGTGAGCACTAGCGAGCGGAGTTGGGGGGAGAAGGGATGGGCCTGGGGAGGAGAGGGTTAAAGGTGGGGCCAGTCCTACAAACACGCGTTTACTCAGACCTGGTCACACGCGTTTCCCCGGCTCTGAATGGGGGGCAGTGTAGGGGCCTAGGCCTGAGCTCTCTCCACCCCAGGCTCCTGCTGCCTGGCTTTGGGAGGTCGCGGACCCCACTGTCTCAACTCACACCTCGGGAGCCCCCTCTCATACGCACACACACGCTCTGGCGCGCGCGCACACACTTCGGACATTCCCATAGTGCCTCACGTGACACACAGCCCCGAACGTGCCCACCCTTCACACACGCTCACGCACGCGTGCACACACGCGCACACACGGCCTCCAGGCCACTTCTCCACTCCATCCGACCCCCGCCCGCAGCCCCGCAAAGGCACTCATTGACTGTGACACACCTACACCCATTCACAGACACACACACTCCCCCCACACATGCCAGCCACAGACACACATTCATAAACAGGGCCAGAAGTATATACGCACCCCTTCGCCTACTCTTTCTGGAGCCCTGAGTCATTCCTGCCCCCTCCCAGGGCTCCCCATTTCCTTGTATGCAGGCACACAGGCTTAGGAATTCTTTGTCAGCTTTTCTTCACCTATGCTCAGGCCTTTCCCAGAGCCCCCTTCCCCTCTGTGTACCCTCAGACACTTAGCAGAAGACTTCCTGTGGGTCCCAGGTCAGGGGTGAGGAGAGCCTGGAGGGCTGCCACAACCTCAGTGTGACTGGGGGAGGCACTTCCTTTTTCTGAACTCTGGGATCCTGCAGGAGGAAGCTGGGAAGTTGGGCGGGGGCCCAGCAGAGGATGTGCTGGCCGTGGTGGGGCTGACCCTCCCAGAAGCACTGGGCCTTCCTAAGAGAGGCCTGGCATGAGGAGCTTGGCAAAGAGGTATTTGGGGAAGTGAGGCCTGGGGTGGAGAAGGGACTGAGAAGTGAGAGACAAGGCAGGTCCCTTCTGGGCCCCTGTGCTGGGAAGGTAGCCCTCTCCTGTCCACAGGTCTCCCTGAGTTCTGGAAGGGGCCCTTCCCTCCTGCTGGCCTTGTCTTTACTTGTCACCCCCCTGCCAGCCCTGAAAGTCTTCACCTGGTCCCAGTCCCTTCCTCCAAAGGCAGCAGAGAAGAGATGAGGCTTAGTAGTCTGGGAGGGGGCTGTGGATATGAAGGCAGGACCAGGCTGCATCTCAGCTGGCCGCAGGGCTCCTCGGGCCAGGACGAGAGGTGTCAGGGACAAGCTCTGGGCCACCCTCTCCACGGTTGCTCCTGCTCTCCCAGGAGGCCTAGGGCAGGCCGTGGCCCAGGCCCTTGCCATGGAGTCCATGTTTGAGGATGACATCAGCATCCTGACCCAGGAGGCCCTGGGGCCCAGTGAGGTGTGGCTGGATGCCCCTGGAGACCCCTCGCTGGGGGAGGACATGTGTTCTGCCTCCCACTTTGCCCTGATCACGGCCTATGGAGACATCAAGGAGCGGTTGGGAGGCCTGGAGAGGGAGAATGCCACCCTCCGCCGCCGCCTCAAAGTCTACGAAATCAAGGTCAGAATCTGGAGATGATGGGCCGACTTTGTGTAGGGGTTGGGGAGCGCTGGGTGGCAGGAACTCAGGATCCAGCAGAGATTCCAGGGAACCAAAAGAGGGGTCAGGGTACAGACTCAGGAACTTGAGGGGCCCCCATGAAGGATGTGGCTGCTCTGGATGGGAGCTCTGGAGAGCCCAGTGCCAATCAGGAAGGGATCAAGAGGGATCTGCTTTGGAGCACTGGACCTTGGATCTAAAAAAGATCTGGTTGGTGGGAGACACCTACAGGCCCGTAGAAACTGGGATGTGTAGATCTCTCTGGAGAGGGAAGGGAGAGGCGAGGACTCTGAGGCAGGTTGTGGGACGGGGACACAGCTAGGCTAAAGCCTGGGCTAGGGGCCGGGCACCGGCTCTCCTAAGGGCCTGTCCCATCCACAGTACCCACTGATCAATGACTTTGGAGAGGAGCATGGCTTCTCTCTGTATGAAATCAAGGATGGCTCCCTGCTGGAAGTGGAGAAGGTCAGCCTGCAGCAACGGCTCAACCAGTTCCAGCATGAGGTAAGCCCTCCCTGAGCTCCTGGCTCCAATCCATTTCCGAAACCTGTCACCCCCACCCCCACCCCTCTAGCCTCTGGCCTTCTGTCTCCTTGATCAGATGGCCATGGTCCTCCCTATAACCAGCTGCAGCTCCTTCTACCCCTCCACTGGCTGCTGGGAGTGGGGGTGGGAGGCACAGGATGCTGCTCTGCTACCCCAAGTCAAGGATGGGCCTGACTATGGCTGCACCCTACCCTCTCTGGGCCCCATCCAGCTGCAGAAGAATAAGGAGCAGGAAGAACAGCTCGGGGAGATGATCCAGGCTTATGAGAAGCTCTGCGTGGAGAAGAATGACCTGGAGACAGAGCTGGGGGAGATGGTGAGGTCCAGGGAGCCCGGGTGCTTGTGGGTGTGACCCTGAATGGTGTGCTCGTGATATGCACCCAGCTGTGGTGGTGTCTGTCGGTGAGTGCCTTTTTGGCCTTGTGAGTGAGCTTGTGCGTGTCATACAGGTTGTGAGTGACTCTGTGTACATCCTGGCCATGCAGTGACAGGAGGTAACTATATAAGTGACCCTGTAGGACACTGTTTCTCTGTGTGTGTTTGGGTCTCTTGCTGGGTTGACCCTAGCACTGAACTGGAAAGCTGTATAAGTGAGGGCAGAGGTGACCAGAAGTGTTTGTGGCTGTTGGGACAGGCCTTGGCCTGAGTGTGATTCTGAGTCAGGGTATGGCCATGTGTGTGAGTAGGTGGGCAGATATCAGAGTGAGGAGACATAGTACAGCCAACCCCTAACTGACCTAGGTCAAGACACTTAGCCTCTGTCCTGCCTCTGAAAAGTGGGGCAAGTAATAACAATCTTGCTGAGCTGTTGTGGGGCATTTGTGTAAAAATGCTTTGCCGTAATAGTCACAAACATTTACATGGCACTTACTGTGTGCCAGGCATCATTCTCATCTCTTTGCATATATTTACTCATTTTAATGCTCACAACAAATCTTAAGTTAACCCCGTGTTATGAGTAAAATAGATGAAGCCCATAGTGTTTAAGTCACATATGCAAATGGAAGTTATGCTCCTGAGGGGGTGGCGGTGTCTGGACAGGAGGCTGAATGTTCTTATAAGTGTCTCTGCATGTTAGTGACAGGGAAGAGGCATTACCTCTGACTTTGCAAGGGGCAATAGCCAGAGACATCTGCATTGCAGTTGCTGAGAGAGGAGACCTCTCACTCATGGCCTCTTGGAGACTGGAGCTGGGATGTGTGACCTGGGACCTCTGCTCAGTTTGGGAGATAATGGATACCCAGACATGGGGAGGTCCTTGTTTGGGGGGCCCACAGGGGTGACCTGGCCTGGTGCAGACCCTCACCCCTTTGTCTTCCCCCATAGCGGGCTCTGGTGGAGACCCACCTGCGGCAGATCTGTGGTTTGGAGCAGCAGCTGCGGCAGCAACAAGGCCTCCGGGACGCAGCCTTCCCCAGCCTGAGCCCCCCGCCTGTCTCTGCCCCGCCCTGTGCTGATCTGGACCTGCACTACTTGGCACTGAGAGGCGGATCTGGCTTGAATCACGGTAAGATCTCAGCAACCCCTGACATCCGTACTCCAAAGGCCCCAAGCCAGCCCCCGATTTCAGCACCGCTGGACACCTCCAGCATCTCAGATTGATAGTCATCACCCCATCGTAATGTTTTATTTTCTCCCATAGTCACCCCATCCCTCCTTACCAACAGTCCCCACACCTCAGTCACTATTACCCCAGTTTCTGACACTGACATCCCCCCTTTTATCTCGCCCATTCCGAGGTTACCCTCATGCAATCCCTGTATGTGCCAGCAGAGGGCGTCCCCACCCATAGTCCCCTTGCCTGTCAGGTGGTGTTTAGCAGAGGGCCCTAGGATGCTTGGAGACTTGAGTCTGGCCAGGGAAGCCCTTCCAGAGCCCATCTTATTTTCCCTCTGCCTCCAGGAAGATTAGGAAAAGCATCTCAGCCCATCGTTCCCATTTCCCTCGGGAGAGGTCTCTCTCTCATCCTGGGATAGCTGTCCTCTGGCTGTCTCTCTTGGATCCCTCATGCTGCAGCTCTCACCCACTTCACCTTGTGCTGATTTGGGAGTTGGTGGAGGGTGCCCGGCAGCTGGACCCAGCCTGACATTGTCCTTTTCCCTCACAGCAGGCTGGCCAGGCACCACACCAAGTCTGGGTGAGCTGGAACGGCGACGGCTAGAGGAGGCTCTGGAGGCCGCCCAGGGAGAGGCACGGGGTGCTCAGCTCCGGGAGGAGCAGCTCCAGGCTGAGTGCGAGCGGCTGCAGGGGGAGCTGAAGCAGCTGCAGGAGACCCGGGCCCAGGTAAAAGGTGGAGGGTGCTGCCTGGGGCCCCTGCCCCAGCCCCTCTAGAGCTTCCTGGAGGTCTGGGGGCTGCTGGAAACAACCCTTAAATGTCTAGGGCTTTCCCATGAGTCCAGACGAGCCCTGGGGGTAGTAAAGAAGGGAAGTCCAGGCAAGGTGAGCTTGGGGTCTCACCTCTCAATCTTTCTCTTAGGACCTGGCCTCCAACCAGTCGGAGCGGGACATGGCATGGGTGAAAAGAGTTGGGGATGATCAGTAAGTCACTCTGTAATCCTCTTCCTCTTAAACTCTATACCCTGGGGGGTGCCATTTCCTAGGTTCCCCCTTTGGTTCACTCCTTCCCCTCTACATTTTTGGGGCCTCTCTTTTAGGCTGTCAGGATTGTGGGGTTTGGGTTGCTCGTGTGGCTCTGCACCCTTCAGAGGAAGGAGGCAAGGTCCTGGAGATGCGCAGGTTCTGGGACGTTCCCTTTGTTTTCCTCTGGTACCCAGGCCTGTGTCTTCTCGAGGTGTCAGGGGTGGAGAGAGACTTCCTCAGCAGCTTTGCTGCTGTGTTCTGTGTCCCCTGGTGAGTTTTGGGACCTCTGGGGCCCATTTTCTATCCCAGTGACAAGGCCCAGCCAGTTGGGTTAGCCCTCCCCTCCCCAACGAGGAGGAAGGAGATGATCTCTTTCAGGATTTGTGGTGCCTCCTCTCCTTTCTCAGGAGAGAGAAAGCTGAGTCTTAGAGGAGGATGGGCTTCCTTGAGTTTATACAGTAGCATGCAGGGGATTAGAACATATTCTGCTGGGGTGTCCCGTGGGAATCCTGCCAATAAAGAGGGGCAGCAGGAAGTGGGGAGGGAGCTATGTCAGTGGGACCTCAGTAGTGGGGCCTTGGGGCAGCCTCGGGCAGACAGGGAGAGAGTGAGCACAGCCTGGCGGCTGTGAGCCTGGTGCCTCTCACATCCGCACCCGAACTCATCCTCTCCCACTTTCTGAGAAATAGAGCACAAACCTCTTTCCGCCTAAGCCTTCTCCTCTAAGACGAGGTGTGTGGCACAGACTCCCTCCTTTTATTGGAGGGGAAGACTGAGGCCTGGAGAGGAGCAGGAGCTCGCCCTCTACCATGCCACACACCCAGCTACAGGACCTCTGGCTCCCCCTCTCAGCAGGCCTCCTCCTCACCTTTTTCCCAGCTGCTGGCCAGTTGGGGATACCCCTCACCTCCCTCTGCACCCTGGGGTGACGGCCTGGGTGGAGCTGTGATAGCTGGGGGGGTGAGAACCCCGTTTGTGGGACTAATGGGTGGGACCCCTCAGCTGTTAGGGGCCTCTGTGGAAAGGGTCCACCCTAAATTGTGGCTGGGGCTTAGGGCACATCCTAGTCCGTGTGCCCAGACCCGGAACACACATACACGCAGATGTTCTAGAATCCTAGCTTGCCCCTAAAGTCACAGTGTAGGGCCCTTTATGGCTCACTGAGTCCAGCTCCCTCTTAGAAGAGCTGAGTGAAGCCTCCTCTAACTGGTTGAACCCAGAGAGAGGATTTTTTTTGGCAGGGCTAGAGTCTGAACAGCCAGGCTTTGAATCCCAGGGACCCTACCTGGGATGCTGAATGGCTTAGCTTGGCCAAATTCATCTCTCTGGCCCCAGGTTTCCTTCACGGTCTCAGAGGTCCATCGCTGCTGAGAGGTTCTGAGTGGAAGGTGATGTGGGTGAGGCAGAGAAGGGGTGGTGGGTCTCAAGGGGCCAAGGCTATAAGTGAATGAGTGGAAGAGAATGCCTCCCATAAGGTACTTTTGGAGGTCGTATCATCCCTGTCAATGATTTTGGCCAGAACAGCCCCTATCTGTTCTCACCTCAAGGCACCTGCCCCGCCCTGTCCCTTTGGCAGAGGGAGCTGAGCTGTGCTCCGAGGCTGGTCCTACCAGAGATGACCTCCTGCTCTTTCCCTCTGTCTCCACGGTTCGGGCTCTGCCTCAAGGCCTCCTGGACATCTGCCCCTGGAGCCAGCCAGGCCCTGCCTGCCAAGACTCTCAGTTCCTTTCAGGCCAGGCATCTCCGGACAGCCCCAGCTTGGCAAGAGTTAATTCTCAGAGGAAGTCCTCACTCCCCCGGTAGTTTTATTTTCTTATAAACTCAGCTCCTTTTAGTAATAAGCCGCTTCCCGAGTGCTCTCTCCCCTGTCCTCCCACCTGAGGAGGCCTCAGTCACCTGCTCTCAGATCCTTTCCCCCACCAGCCCCTCCTCTTCCTTCTGCTTCTACCTGACCCTCCGGGCCAGTGGGAATTTTACATGTGGGCCTTCCACGGAGAGGAACACAGGGGCTGAATTATCCAGATGGAGGTGTGATGGCTGAAGAGGGGGCACAGAGGTTCCTGGGTTCAGCCGACTCCTCTGTGGGAACCCTGTGTACCCCTGAAGGGTGCTCGTCTGTCCCAGTGTGGACACCTCCAGGGTGGCCAGTTTTACTGTGGGAGTCCTGGCTGTTAAAATTCCCTCCCTCATACAGCTGCTGCCTCTATTAATTCCCCTCCATAGGTCTTCCCTGTGCTGAGGGGGGCAGGCCGGGGAGGCAGCTCCTGCTCCAAGGTTTTCAGTCCCTTCCTGCCCAGTGCCCAGAACAGACCAGACTGCCCACCTCAGGTCCGACCTGCAGGCAAGATTACTCTGCCGTCTGGTCAGCCCAGCATCTGGTGGTTGGTACCAGGGGGACAAGTTGCCCCAGTGGCAGAGCTGCTGAGGGTGACTCAGGGGCCAAAGGCAATAATGAGGAAGGAGATGGGAGTGGAGACAACCTGCTCCTGAGGATGCACAGGGATCTTAGGACCCCAGGAGGGTCCCAGCCAAGGGAGAGGCACAGAGCCCACGACCCCTGCCCCTCTGGGCCCAGCGCAGAGTCACAGTTCTGAGCACGGCCTTCCTGAGGGTGTGACTAGCCCTGAGGGTGGAGGGGAAATTGTGGAGAGGGGGCTCCTTGAGGGGGCTCAGTGAGGGGAATGAGGGCCAGTGAGGGAGGGGGCTCATCCATGAGGGGAGCTCCCCTTGAGAGGATGGGGGTTCAGTACGAATGATGAGGAGGGAAACTATAGGCCTTTTTTCCCAACGTGGGGGGCTCAGTGTTGCAGCCTGGGCCCTTTTCCGCCCACCTCCCCACACCCGCCCCTCTCTCCGCCCACAAGCCTCTGCGTGGGCTGCGGTTAGTGGTGGGGGAGAAGTGTGAACTCGGAGAGAGAGGATGGAAACTCTGCACAGAGGTCAAGGGCAGTGTGGGGTGGGTCAGGACGGAAGTCGGAGACCCCCGTGTACCCAGAGCTTAGTCTCATGCCCCAGAACCAGCGGGCCCAGGGCCTCCCCTTTCACGCTTCTCACCCTCCCTACTTCCTTTCTCTCAAATCTCCTTCAGCCCTGGCGCCCAGCCCACAGGACTTGCAGTCTCCGGGCTCCCCAAGGGTGAGGAGGGGTTCTGAAGTTGGGGCCCACCACGCCCACCTAATTGTGGTCTGAGGGATTGGTGGGCTTTGAACCGTCTCTGACCCTTTCCCTGCCAGGGAGGCAGAGAGCAGCTCTTACCCATGTGCTCTCCCTAGATGGGGAACTCCACATCTTCCCCTCATTCAAACCAAAGTCACTGAGCTGGTGTCTTCAAAAAGGAGATCACAACTGGTTCCCCGCTTTCCCCACCTGTTTCCTGGGCACTTCCCTGAATCCTCATCCAAACCATCTACAAAATCTTACTTGATTCTCACACCAAAAAATGTGTGATAGCATTGTCCCCTTTTACAGCTGAGCCAACTGAGGTACAAAGAAGTTAAGTAATCAGAGAAGTTAACTGCAAATACCAAGCAGGTCCTGAGCAGATGGGGTGAATGTACCTCTGTGGTGTTTTTCTGGTTCATGTTCTTCTCCATGTAGGAGGCCCTAACATGAGGGGCAGCCAGCCAGGTGATTTGTTGTCCAAACCTGAACACTTTTGAAAGTGAAAGGGGGCACTATCAATAATTATGCCAGGCAACTGCTGTGAACCTGGGCAGCCCTGGGGAAATTAGGATGCATGGCCCCCTCCCCAACCTAAATGGGGACTCTGGTTTCCAGCCCTGCTGTGATCTCCCCAGCTGGGGAAGGCTTTCTAGACATAGTGACCATCTGGCTGAGCTGGAAGCATGGCAGGGGCTGCCACGAAGAGCCAGGCTCTGTGGACCACAAGTCATAGCTGGTCGAGGAGAGTGAAGGGGCTCAAGGCGCCTGAAAGGAAGTGGTGGAGCGCTGGGTTGTTGCAAGCGACTTCCTCCTCCCCACGGCCCGCAACCTCAAGTCCGCTCCACGGCCCGGTGCCTGTGGTCCCCTCCCTGAGGGTCGGGTCGGGCGGGAAGACTAATGCTGGGTGTGCCTGTGGGTGATGGAAAGTTTGGTCCCTAAATTCCCCCACAGGAGTGATGTGGCCGAGGGCAGCTGTGGGCAAGGATGGAGGGGCTGGGAATGCTGGATTTCTGTTTTCCTCCTGATTTGATCAGCTGGGGACTCTGACCACATGAGCAGCTCTGATCCTGACCCCAATCCTAACCTTAATACTGATCCCATCCCTGCCTGTAACCCTGTCCCTCATCCTGACTCAACTCCATCCACAAGCCTGAAAATGAACTAATCTTCCCCCAACCTCAGCCTTAATCCTGACCTTGAGCCCATCCCTAGTTCTAATCCCATGACCCAACACTGGCCTGAATTTCTGCCCACTGCATCCGCATCTGCATCCACATCCGTATCCTCACAGAGGCTCCAGGGCAGCACTGGGCACCTGGTGAACTTCCCCAGGAAAAATGCTACACTCGGAAGCTCGCATGCCTCCCAGCTGGTTTAGGGCAGAAAGAGGCCTTTTACAGAGGAGGATGCTTAGGTCTCTAACCTTTCTCATCTCAGTTGCTTTATCAATGACATTAAAGATTATTATTTCCAAATAAATTTTTGAGATCCCTGAATTATTCACAGAAAGAATGAATGAAAGGATAAGTCAATAAACAATGGAAAGGTTTGCAGTGGAGGGAGCTCTGCTTCCAGCCAGCACTGCCATTTGCACTCCAGCTCCTCCAAAGGTGCCAGCTCAGCAGGCTGAGGTGCCAATAGCCTGTTTGAATCCCTGCACTGTGCCACCACTGCTCTGGGACCTTGAGCCAGCCAGTTTCACATGTCCAGCATCTTCCTCTCCCCTCCCAGGGCTGGACTTGTGATGCTCAGGACTCCCAGGCCACTTTGGAGGTCCCCATTCTCTTCCTCCTCATCTCTCCTTTCTGCTTTCTTCCCATCTCTCCTCCTGCCCCACTTTCCTGATTGTTTTGGAAGGCAGTACATAGTTGTGTGGTCAGTATCCTCAACTTTGGAGTCCAGGAGGCCAGAGCTCCCATTCCAGCAGCTCCACTGTTATTAGGCTTTATGACTTTGGGCAAGTGACTTAAGCTCTGTAAGCCTCAGTTTTTTCATCCATTAAATGGAGATAATGAGTGGCAACACTGTAGGTTTGTCGTGAAGATTAAGTTCTTAGCACAGAGTCTGGCCCATGATAAGGGCTCTTACAGATTATTTATGATTTTCTCCCTGAGTCCCTCTCAGTTTCTGAGAGACTCAGACAGAACTCCCCCCACTCCATAACTTAAGCAATAAAGAAGTACCCAAACACAGCTCTCTGCTACTGTTCACCTGACCCATCCTTCCCAAACAGTGGTGATGGTGGAAAATCGCACTCAGGTGTGGGCCAGGAAACCAGGAAGCGGAATGTGTATTCAGGTGCACGTGTGTGACTCTTGGTTGTGTTGTGAAGTTGAGATATTTTTCCACTGAATTGGCAGTGTTTTCTAATGTGAGTCATTCAGATGGTTAGCATATTTAGCAGCCGTGCCTGTGCATCTTGAGGTGGGAAGAGATGCCAGATGAAAGGGGAGGTCCCAGGGGCCATGGGACATTGGGAAGTCAGGTCCCCCTACCTTGCCCGGGGTTGCAGAGGTCCTTGCAAGGGCTGCCTGGAGCCCCAGGAGGACACAGGGTCAGAGCTGGGAGAAGGGCTAGACATTCGGGGCTGGGCCTTCTCCTTTCCATTTCCTGCTGCCCTGTCTATTTTGCAGTGAGGAGGGTGCCAGGAGCTGGGCTGTGGAAACTGGGGTAGCTCCTGACAAGGGGAGGAAGGCAAGCAGGGGAGAGATAGGGGCCTGGGAACTGAGTGTGGCAGGTGAGATCTCCAAGGCAGGGTGTGAAGGCGACGACCTGTATCTGTCACCTGAGATACAGCAGTGAAGGCAGACTGGGAGAGAAACTGTAGCTGCTTGGTCAGAGGGGATGTTCCATCAGTGCCCTGCCCAGAGCCTCCTCCTGCCCCCACCACTGAGGGGTGGCATGATCCTGTCTGAAAGCCCCCAGTCTGATGGGAGAGACACAGCTCCTGCCCTCAGATTCCCTTGGACTAAACTGGGGAGTCTTCTGTTGGGAAGTCCCTAATTTAAAGTGGGACACAGATGGGTCTCCCAGTCTGATGAGTGATGCCATTTCTTCCCACAGATCCATGTGAAGAGGGTCGGGGAACATCATAGAGCTGAGATGTGATGGGTTGAGGGCTGCAGCACCTCGGCAAGGGCTCCCGGCAGGACTGCTTCCTCCCATCCCTGTCCACCATCAGATTGGTAGAGGGAACCCTCCCTCCCTAAGGAATGGGTTTGTCCCCCAGAATCCTAGCCTATTTGCAATAATTTGGCTTTGGCCCAAATGGGTTAAAAATAGTTTTGTTGTGGGTGGTAGGGGTTGCTGTCTCCCCCTCCAGCCAGCTCTGCCCTAGGATTAGTAAGAGAGAGGAGCCAGTGAGGAGGGTAAAGGAGTTCAGTCATCATCTGCCCTCTGAAGTCCTAACCTCATGACTTCCCCTCCTCTTCTCTGGGGTCAGGCACACACACTCACACTGTTCCTCACACTCATCACATTGGTCTCACACCTCCCTTCACTCCCTCCTGTCCACATACATCCTCTCTCATGTCCATTACCATGGGATGGAGACCCTCAGGGTCTAGAGAACTACCCCCACCCACCTCTCCTTCCCGCCCAGGGCCCTATAGCTCCCGGGGCAAGAGAGCCTCCCCTATGAGGAAATCCTTTCTAGGGTGGCTGAGCCCTGCCTGCCACTTCCCTCCAACCCCAACTTCCACAAAGTTCCAGAGTTCCTTCTGGATTGGGGAGGGAGGCGAGATCTGAGGAAACAAAACATCCTGCCTCACAGGCTCTGTCCAAGCCCAGATCAGAGATGAAAGCAGCGACCCACGGCCATGGCAGAGCCTCATGTGAAGTCAGTACGGGTGTGCAGGCCACGGTGGGAGAGAGGGGAGGGTCAGTGCCGAGAGTGATAACCTAGGTGGTTCTGGGTCAGAGTGACCCAAAGAGAAAGGAAGTGGAAAGGAAGTGGTTGAAGTCTTTCCTGAGTCTGTTCCAGCTCTGTGAGGGCAGGTACCTGGGAGGCCTGAGCAGAAAGTGGGAGGGAAAAAGGGAAGAAGAAAGAAAAATAGAGAGGCTCAATTCAGTATTCACTTACTGAACAGCTACTGGGTACCAGACCCTAGACAAGGTGCTGAAAATATGAGCACAGTGATAAAATCCCCACCTTCGAGGAACTCTCAGTGAAGTTCCAGAACAAGGCAACCTTTAAGTGCTTAATATGAGTGGTGCCCCCTGGAGGTGTGCAGTGCACAACAGCTGTTCACAAAGATCTCCATGTAAAGGGCTCCCTGGTGATCCTGGGAGTTGCAAGGCTGAAGGAGCTCAGAGGCAGCCCTGATGTGGAAGCAAGAGGAGTGGACCTGGAACTGGGCAGACCTGGGTTCAAGTTTATCAGTTGGCACCACTGCCAAGCCAAGAGGCTATGTCTTCACTCATGGAATAGGGCTTTTCATAAGCTGTGCAACAGTGGTCCCTGATCTTTCAAAGGTGAGGACTCCTCATGCACCCCCTGCCCCCAAAGCACAGATTGCACTTACACTGTTAGTAGGAGCTCTGTGAGAAAATTCACAGTGACAAAAGCTACTATAAATTCAGCGCAGCTTTTTGATGAATCTATGTTTTATTTGTCACCACAGCTTCTGCACAGATTAGAAAAACATTCACACATACCTGTAGGAGATGTATTCAGGCCACAGACAAGCTCAGTGATCACACAGATTCAGGGATCCCTTGAAATCACTGAGCTTCCCAGCCCCCAGGCCATAGTCTGGGAACCACTGCCCTAACCCCAGGTAAGGTTCGCTGGGAGAAGGGGGAGGCTCCCTGGAAGAGGTTCTCTTTTGAGGTGGGCCTTATAGCCGAAGAGAATTTCTGCAGGTGGGGGTAGGAGGGCCCTGGAGGGGAGGGCGGGGCAGATGCTGGGGCAGATCTAGTCCTTCGCAGTCCGTCCGCTGCTGTGATAGTTAACTCACTTCCCTTCTCTTCTCCACACCCTGCCCTCTGACCTCAGGGTCAGGGCAGGCTGGGGTCAAGTCTTGATCTGAGTGACTGGCTGTCCTTCAGGGTGAATTTGGCGCTTGCTTACACGGAGCTGACAGAGGAGCTGGGCCGGCTTCGGGAGTTGAGTTCCCTGCAGGGGAGGATCTTGAGGACTCTGCTGCAGGAGCAGGCTCGGAGTGGCGGTGAGATGGGGCAGGGGAGGCCGGGAGCTGGACCCAAAGGGAGGGGCTAGCTATGGCCAACGTCCTGCGTCCTGGGGCCACCCTCGACTACTTTCCCGGTGCCTGGGCCTTTTTCACTTACGTTCGGAGGAAACTGGGTGGACACTGGTCGCCCGCAAGGCCTTGGCTCCCCAGTTCTGACGCCTTCTTTCCCCACCGCTGTTTCTCGACCCGTCCTGCTTCTCCTGCAGGCCAGAGACACTCGCCGCTGTCGCAGCGCCACTCCCCAGCCCCTCAGTGCCCCTCACACTCCCCGCCGGCCCGAGCGGCGCCCCCATGCCCCCCGTGC